GGTTCTCTGAGGAAGACTGTGGCTTACAAACTCCCTACTCCTGATGTTGTTCAGCTGACTGGTTTGATTGCTTTGGCAGATGATTCTGTGAGAGATGAATTCAGAAAGTCTTACGGTAAACTGCTCAGTTTGGTTCGTAAACCCTCTGTGTTTGAGTTGAATGGGTTGCACGGCCTGCTGCAGTTCTACGATCCTCCTTTGAGATGCTTTACTTTCCAGGATTTTATTCTCGCACCCATACTAGAGGAGTATGTTGATTTGTTAGGGGTGCCTATCAAGAGTCAGATGCCCTTTGTTCATATGGATGTTGAGCCTAATCTGGCTAGCCTAGCCCCTTCACTTCATCTGGATGCCTCCGAGTTGGTCTTGTCTAGTTGGAACAGGGTTCCCGGTTTCTCCTTACAGTTCTTAGTGGGAAAGGCTCAGCAGTGCGCCAAAGACGGATGTTGGGTCGTGTTCAACGCCATTCTTGCTCTGTGCATATATGGCATCATTCTGTTCCCCAATATGCCTGACTTTGTAGACTTCGACGCCTTCCACATCTTTGCATCAGGCAACCCAGTCCCTACCTTGATAGGAGATGTCTACCATTCCGTCCACTACAAAAACGAGAACAGAAGGGGTAAGAATGTCTCTTGCTGTGTGCCCCTGCTCTATAGATGGCTTGATAGCCACCTACCCAAGAAGGGTCCCTTTGCTTCGTCTGCAGCCACAACTGAGTGGCCTGAGCGTTTGATGAGTCTGTCAGCGGAGGATATTGCCTGGTTTGATAGAGATAGGTTGGGTACCGAGATCATCTTCAGCTGCAGTGGGTTTCCGAACGTGCCTTTGATAGGCAGGAAGGGCTGTATAAACTATAATCCATCGCTGCTGGTCCGACAGTTTGCTTATGCTTTGAGAGCTCCGCCGAAGGATGAAGAGGTGCAGGAATCTCTGTACCTCACTGGTCTTCTAGAAGGGGATATGTTATCTAAGCTTCAGCACGCTTGGAATAGTATCAATAAGAGGGGAAAGCCGTCACTAGGAAAAAGTAATAGCCAGGCCTACGCTCCATATGTGACTTGGATCAGAGCCAGAGCAGATGCTATAGGGATGCCGTTTCCTCCTGCCAAGCCAGAAAACCCTCTAGTGATTGAAGAGCCTACCACCGTGCCTATTCAGCAGCATAATCAGGTGTTAGCTGAGAGAGATGAGCTGAAAAAGGCAAATGAAGAACTGGAGAAAGAATTGGCTCAACTCAGAAGCGAGAGAAGCGAAGCCGTCCATTCCTTCAAGAGGCAGACAGAGCTGGTGAACCAGTTAGGGACAGATTTGACTAAGCAGATAGCTGAGCGTGAGCGCTTGGGTCGAGACTTCAAAGCTGTCAATGATGTACTGGCCACTAAGAAGCAGCACTTGGATGAAGCGTACCGGAGAATATCCAAGTTTAATCAGCATTGGAAGGCCACCCTAGCCAACGACAAGGACGGGAGGATAAGCTGAAGCAACAGATCTCCAAGCTGAAAGCCCAGGTGAAGGCTAGTGAGAATAGGTTTGATGAAGAAACCGCTCGTAGATATGCCGCTGAATGTCAGCTCAACAAGGCTCTTGCTAACCTGAAGGAGCGCAAGCTGATGTTTGAATCCAAGAAGCGGAAGTTAGAAGATTGTTTCGACGAAGGAGCATGGGAAGACTCAGTTGAAGGTCTCCAATACACTATTACGCAGAGGGAGTTACTCGTCGAAGGGTTGCTCACTCAGCCTGATCATTCAGAAACGAGGAATCTGTTAGAAGAGTTTCGAGCCCGTGCCGTGCTTGACTATATTTGTAATCCTTTTGTTGTGATCGTTGTTGTATGCTGACCATCACCAGACTTGTTGGTCGAGGTCATGCTATTGATTAGCAAAAATTAATCATTTTATATTTTATTTATATATACATAAAAGGGAATCAATATTCAAATTTGTTAACATCTTTATATATCAATTATATTTTGTCTCAGTAGGATAAGCCTTTGAAGGGTCTGATTTCTTTATTTGTTCATAATAAATTAACTAATTTAAAATTTCTTTGTTTTTGTTTTATCAATCTCTAATAAAATTTTGATATAACTTTTTCTTCTTTGAATATATAGTTTTTTTTATAAAAAAAAATATTGACATTTTCAATTAGACCACAATCATGTTTTATCATTTCACTATAATTTTCAACAGCTTAATTATTATGCCTATAAGTAAGACGGTAAAATGTGATTGAGTTGACGTCTAAAATTTGCTTACAATCATGAAATTGTTTATCTTTTTACATAAAGATAAAATAAAATTGTTAAACTCGTAAGAATAGTTTTTCTTTCTTTTTGACAGAATTTAAAAGATTTCTTCTTTTGTTTTTGTTGAAGAGTTTATGCATTGTGCAAATTGGTCGGCAAAGTTGCGAACATCACAGCTCTTTTAATTGTATCTTGTTTTTTATAATTGGGTACAATTAGTTGTACCTTTGATGCAACGTTTAGGTAAAGTTTGTCCAATTAGTTCAATAGTCTTATTCGTTATTCCTTTCATTATATTAGTAATATATTTTTTAAATAAATATTTGTTTTATAAAGGTATACTAAATAGTATTGTAAAATATTTTTTAATTACTAGTAGTAAAAGATATATTAATATTATATTAAAATAGTGTTTTTTTTATGAATTACATGAATTATGTTTAAATACTACAGTTTTTTAAAAATGTAAATCATGCCATTCAACTAAAATTTTAATTAAAATTTTATCATTGATATCTGATTCGGGATATTAAAATTTCTGACGTAAGATAAAATATAATTAAATTTATTTAGTTGTATAAAGAATCACCGTGCTATAACTAAAGAGTTAATGTTTAATTAAAATTTTGATTTAGAAAAATTAAAATTTTATTTTTTGTATGTATAAAATTATAAGTTTAACCTTTTTTTTTATAAAATCAAAACATTGGTTTTAACCTTCTTAAATCAACACTCTTTAATACATCGCCGAAATCATTTTAATGCCAATTCTAGCACAAGTTCATACATTTAAAAAAAAATGATATCTTATCATAATTTAAAATCAAATCATTTATTTATGCAATATTCCCTCATTTGATACAATTTGGAATTCTAAATAAAAATTTAATAATTTACATTTAAATACAATTTTTAATTTTTATTAAACTAAAAAAATTTGAAAATATGATAAATTGAAAATAGTAAAATTAGTATAAAAAAAGATAAATTTAACTTAACATAACTTGTTTGATTTGATTTTGTAAATATTTTTGTTTTAAAAATTTGAAAATAATAAAACTAATTTGGTAATTTAATTTTACAAAACTGTTTTCTGTTTAAGAGTTTTAAAAAAACAAAGAAGTTAAATTAAATTTGAAATTTTTTAATTTTTAGTTTTGGAAATTGAGAAAAAAAAAGCAATATATCTTTTATTAATAACAAAATTATAATGTAGTACAATTTAAAAATAGTTTCCAAAAACAAAAGTAAGATCCTAAATTCAAAAACTAAAAAGCAAAAAAAAACATTAAAATTTTACCTCAAAAAATTATTTTAATTTTTTAGTTTCTAAATACTAAATAGAAAATAATTTTCAAATAATTTTAAAATTTTAAAAATTAAAAAACAGTTTTACAAAATGAATCTATAATTCATTAAAAAATTCTTAATTTTACTAGTTTAACTGACCAATGTTTACCATTACTAATTTTAAATTAGAAAAGCACTCAAGATATTTGGAAGCGTGACTGAAGAACAACACTTCACTATTCCCACGCTTTTTAGCATAGAACAGCCACACTCGATCACCGCCCTCCACATTCCGTTAACAAACAAACGTCTGTAAACAAGTGCCAGAAAGTTACCAGCCAACCAACCCAACAGCCGCCGTTAACGCCTAACTCAAGCGGCCGTTTCACGCCACTGCTACCAACGACGCTTTTGATAGCGACGCATCTCTCTCTCTCTCTCTCTCTCTCTCTCTCTCTCTCTCTCTCTCTCTCTCTCTCTCTCTCTCTCTCTCTCTCTCTCTCTCTCTCTCTCTCTCTCTCTCTCTCTCTCTCTCTCTCTCCGGCTCCGTACGGAGTTCGATACTCCGAGAAAGTGGAGCGATTTGGATCTCAGAAAGCGATATACATTTTGATTTTTTCTCCCCAATCTATCAACTCGCCTCAGGTATATATAGAAGCGACGCTGTTATGCTTCGTTTTGAGGAATGCAGTGTTGTCTTATCCGATCATTCGTTAATGGATTATTTTATTGATTGATCTACGATTTTCGGTTAATGCATTTTTTTAAACTGTATTATTGATCTGAATTTTTACTTTAATCCAGCTCAATTATGGTTTTCCGATTTAAACTTTCCTTTCTGATGTTGTACGTAGATCGTCGTGAATAAAGTGTCTCAATCTAGATTCGGACGAGCTTTGAATTTTGGATTTGGATATTTTTCTCTGATCGTGGCATCGTGTTAACTTCTATGACTAATCCATTGTTTTGTGTTTTTGTTCATTTGGGGATTTGATCCAGCTGAATAGTGGTTTTTGTTTACTTTCTGTTACACTTTGGAATTATTCGAATTTAAGTTGTTTGGTTCAAGTAGTTACTAGACAAAAAAGTTTGAGTAATTAAGTTCTAAGTAGATTATAAATGGACAAAATGTTGTGTATATAGGAGAAGTGACTCATATACCCGATGCTTTAGGTTTTGGGTGGAGATGTGGTGTCTCCCTCTCTCGTTGTGGTTGTGGAGCATTGGCCCGTGACTCCCCAACATAAATATTAACTATGGAATGTTATAGTTTCTCTAGAGTTTACATCTGTTCTTAAGCGATTTGATCCAGTTGCATATGCTGCTGTGTTACGATTGAATAATAATTGTATAAATGAAATGTTATCTTTTTCTTTAGAGTATACTCCATTATTAAATGTTGTTCTTGCTTTCTTGTGGTGCAGAGGTATTCTAGGCGCGGATTATTTAAGTCTTGAATAGAATGCAAGGTACAAAACTTATTTGATATTAAGATGTTTATTTAGTTGTGTTTTTGGATTGTTTTGGTGACTGATGATGACTCTGGTTTTAGGGGAAGGATTATTAGTTCAAGAAGATGAGAGGATTAGAAGTTTGGAGCCTGAAACCTCTGAGGATGAGTGGCGGAAGTCTCGAGCTAGATCTCTTAGGAGAAGAGCGATGACTGCCTCAACAAGACTCACTTATAGTCTCAAGAAGCGTAATAAGCGTGTAGCCGATTATCAATTTGATTCAATTTTCATTGAAGATATCCGTGACGCCAAAGAGGAAGAAACTGTGAATTCATTTCGATTGGCACTGCAAACAAGAGATCTGCTTCCAGATTCCCATGACAATTATCACACAATGCTGAGGTAATTTGTCTGACTGAAGTTAACTTTACTGCTAAGCATGCAGTTTCTCTTTAGATAGCTCAATTTATGACTTGAAATAAATAGAAATATAATTGGTTATGCTGTTTGGATCTCATTGATTCATATGTCAAAGGTACAACTTTTATTTTACCTTAATTTAATCAAGGAAAATTAATTGCACAAAAGTGGAACTTGAAGCACATTTCTTGCTTTCAGTTTGGAGTATTCTTCCTTTTTAAAACAGGGTTGAATCACAAGTTTAATTTAATGAATTATTTGTCCAGATTTCCGTCCATAATGCTTTAAAACCTTTTCCAGAAACTTCTATCGAGGAGAATGTATTTTGTTCTTGACAAGTCGAGGAGAATGGATAATAATTATTTTGCTATACAAGTTTTTGTTCAAAAAGAAATGTTTTACACATGCTGTGTGTTACAGGCTGTTGCTGTTTTAATGCTGCAGGTTTCTGAAAGCCAGAAAGTTTGACATTGATAAAACGGTCCAGATGTGGGCAGATATGCTCCATTGGAGAAAGGAGAATGGAGTAGATTCTATTTTACAGGTAAAGTTTGATACTAGTTTATTTTCCTTTTACTTAATAGGGAAGCTAGTATTTCCTAATTATTCGTACACAAAGATTGAAAGAGCTTATCTGAGTTTTCAACTCAAAACAGCCTCCAAAAGCATCTAGTTGTAGTGAGGAAAAATCCTGTGTAGTATTTTCCAATAGAAGATTTTCCCCAATATTGTTTGTTTGATCAGGAATTATTTTAATCTTTTCATCTGAAGGAACATTAAACAATAAGTAATATGCAGGATTTCATATATAAGGAGTATGAAGATGTTCAGCGTTTTTACCCTCATGGTATGCATGGTGTGGACAAAGAGGGGCGACCGGTTTATATTGAGAGACTTGGCAAAGTTGAACCCACCAAGTTGATGAATGTCACCACAATAGATCGATTCTTAAGATATCATGTTCAGGGATTTGAGAAAATGTTTAAAGAGAAATTCCCAGCATGTTCTATAGCAGCAAAGCGGCACATAGATAGAACAACAACAATAATTGATGTGCACGGCGTGGTAAATTCTATGCTTATAACGACATATCAGAATAGCATAAATAACATGCTGTGGAAATTATAGTTTATTGCTACTTTGCTGTGATGCAGAACTGGTTGAGCTTTAGCAAAGTTGCAAATGAACTTGTTATGCGCATGCAAAAAATTGATGGTGATAACTATCCCGAGGTAACTAAATGTTGTAGGATGTTGAATTTAACTTGGTAAGCAAATCATAGCAGTGATCTTTAGAGTGGCAATCTCATTAATTCAATTCCGAGATTCTTTAAAAGATTTAAAAAATAGGTATGCAAGCTGTTTCAATTCATGATAACTAAGAAAAAAGGAATTTAGTACAGATTAGGTTTATATGTGTTTATTTTCCTGCTAAGTTCAGTGTTCTTGTTTCTTGTCATTATATAATTCATTTTGTCATGCATATGCTGACACGGATGCATGCATGTATGTGCACTCATATACATGTCGAAAAGAAACCTGAATTAGGGATACAAAACTTACAATGCTCTGGTACCGTTACTGCAAAGTGAAAGTTGCCTTTGGTAATTTTGGTACACAGACCTCTTGCATTTCTGAATATGCTCTTCTTTTTCCAGACATTAAACCAAATGTTCATTGTTAATGCTGGTAGTGCGTTCAAGCTAATATGGAATACAGCAAAAGGATTTCTTGATCCAAGGACCACAGCCAAAATAAATGTATATATCTTTCTTTTCTTGCTTTGATTTAAATTTAGAAAGGAATGACAAGAGTCTAAATGATTCATGCCGGATTTACAGGTTTTGGGAAACAAGTTCCAGAGCAGATTGTTAGAGGTTATAGACGCATGGTTTGTGTTGTTTTTGTACTGTCTCAGCTAATTAACTGCTTCTATGTCTGAAATATGAATATTTTACAAACATTTGCTTTTGAACAGCCAACTTCCTGATTTTCTGGGTGGAAGTTGCTCGTGCCCAAACGATGGAGGATGTCTTAGATCTAACAAGGGACCTTGGAATGATCCTGACATTTTGAAAGTATGGCATCATTAGGATTGTTGCATTTGTTTGAATTCCATAAACAATTACTGCTCAAATCTACAGCTAATACTCCCTTGTGCTATGTACAGTTGTTAAATTCTAGAGAAGCAACAAAGCCAATAAAATTTGGAAGTTCTTCTGTTGCTGATAGATTAGATACCGATTCATATGCCAGCACGGTTACTCATAAATTGGTTAAGTTTGAGTACAGTATTCTTCTTTTTTGCACAATTCACAAGTCACATTCATACTGTTTTTGCATGATGTGAAGCTTTACTCACAACTATTTCTTCACAGGTTACAAGCACTGAAATATCTGAACCTGGATCAACGTCAGAAGCAACATTAATTCCTTCAACTTTTATGCAAACAGTTCCTTCTAGTGATAATGTAAGCTGTCTTTCTATTTTCATTTTTTTGTGTTTTCTTTCTTATACATGTAGAAGTTTTAGGGTTTTCGTATAGAGAGAAGAAAAGGAATACTAAGAATTATTAAATTGGAGAAATGCTGGAAACAAGCTCTTTCCAAATACTCACTTATTGGGAGATATTTATGTGGACCCATTCCCTATTTGGTGGGACATACCTCCAAATTTGTGGCACTTACGTGAAATTCATCCGATAATGAAGAATATGTTAGTGTTGTTAGCATTTTTAATTTATACCATAATGTGAATGGTATGCTGCATTTTATTATAGAAGACAAAGTACCGATTTTTATTTATACCAATACTACTGTTGAGATATGCACTGATTTGAATCTTTACTATTAAGGTATTCCTTGTATATAATTCTGTATTTATTAGGATTGCTTTATCCAAATGTATTCCCTTAATAAAGGGATTCACTTTGTACAGTTTTCATTATTAGTAATATGAAGCTGAGAGCTAATCTTTCAGTTTATTCAGTACCAAAACCTTACTCTCAAGTACTACTATTAATCCTCTTTAATTAATCATGATTTATAAAGAAATATGAAAATCAATCCTAAGTGGTAATTTGTTAGAGATATATAAGAAATATGCAGATGGTTTGCTGGGTATGTTAAATATTTTATGTTAAAGTAATAAGGCAAGATGTTTTTCTAGACATCCTAACAATACATCTCACATGAGAGTGATGAAACACGGGCTCTAACATGAACACCAAATACAATACAACAACACTTTTCTAGACATCCTAACAATTCATCTCACATGAGAGTTATAAAACCCGAACACTAACATGAACACCAAATACCAACACTGCGCATGCAATGTCTAAAATATAGGACATTAGGATAAAGTGGACTCACATGCATATAAATATACATATAGGAAGAGTATTTCCTTTGATCATGAAAGGAATTAATCTCGGCCATTCTCTTGTTGTATGGTGAAGATTATCTTCTCACATACTCACTTAATACACCCTCTATACATCTCACATGAGAGTGATGAAACACGGGCTCTAACATGAACACCAAATACAATACAACAACACTTTTCTAGACATCCTAACAATTCATCTCACATGAGAGTTATAAAACCCGAACACTAACATGAACACCAAATACCAACACTGCGCATGCAATGTCTAAAATATAGGACATTAGGATAAAGTGGACTCACATGCATATAAATATACATATAGGAAGAGTATTTCCTTTGATCATGAAAGGAATTAATCTCGGCCATTCTCTTGTTGTATGGTGAAGATTATCTTCTCACATACTCACTTAATACACCCTCTATACATACATCTGTGGAGCACAAAAAAGCGATAATGTATGATGGAGTTTGCCAAAAAGAAATTTGACAATTAGATCACATTTGCTTAATTTTGAAGGTTGACGGATTTTATTCGCTCAAAAATTGAGGACCATAGCATACTCCAAATTAGATGGATCAAAAGTGTTATTAAAAACTTTTTTTTTCTTTCTCTTGGAACATTGAGTTTCACATCTTGTTTTTATCTAGAGTTTCTCTAAATAAAGTAAATGGTTAGTGAAACACTTCTTGGGTTCCACACTAGCTAAAGTGTGTCAGTTTTGCTTATGAAAATAAATGTTGACATGCTTTTGTTGCCTAAACACAAATTTGAGGATACTAAAACTAAAGCCAAGATAAAGATTTCAAACATAAACGGAAGTTTGTATAATATTTATTTACTTTTCATCTTAAATTTATAAGTATAAATACAGTGAATGTGCGAACTTCTAATATATAGGTTGATGGAAATATGATAGTGAAATACCATAGGTGCCAAATTTTAAACTTCACGATTTAATTAAACTTCATTAAAAGAAGGAAAAGGTTTTGGGATAAACCTGAAAATCTATATAACCTTTAATATAAAATAGAAGTAAAAGTCAATTTTCAGTAATTTGTTTATTTTTAGTATTGACTAACTGCTGCAACTCATCTATGATATGGAACTATATTGCAGAAAAGGATGAGAGAGCGCATACCTATCCGCAACCTAGATGAGCCAAACAATGATGCCAAAGAAGTTGGTGATGTTGGTTTACCAGGTAAGTCATCCAAAAGCATGTCCTATTATAATTAGGGTTTGTCTTGTGGTTTATTATAACTTACGTCCCCAAAATTTGGTAAAGTTTGGTCTTGAAATGCGCTATTCGTGGTCCACTGGTCCTTGTTGTGAACATTGTCTTATCAATGGTAATGTTTCTAATGGAGTGACACCTCAGTTCGTACAGTCAAATAATATGTATTGGCTGCAAATGTGTTTAAAAACGCCTCCCCCTCACCAGGGCAGGTCATTCATGCAATCTGTCTAATTCAAAATGAAACCATGCTATTCCTTATTTGTTCTTCTTCCTTGTTGATAGTTTGTACATACACAGTAGTGATAGAATCACCAATATGGATCCGCATTGGATCAATATTCTCATTGGAACAAATAATGACAGTGTTATCAACCAAATCCCTCATAACCTTAAACTCATATTTTTCGAATTAAGTGATTTCAATCAAAACTTGTTTGGTGAAACTAACACCCAACCTAGCCTAGCAAATTTCCACCGAACCTTCTCTATTTCGTGCAATCCCATCTTCTGTGCCGCCAAGAGTGAAAATTAGCCTCAAAAACAACGGAACCTCTCCGATATTGTTGTCCATTTGGAGGCACTCTTTGAAAATGGTGCTGATACCAGAAGGCGTGACTCATTTTAGGAAACGGAGGAGGAAAAGATACCTTTTAAAGTTCAAAGACTAAAACTAAACTTAACCATATTTTGGAGGACTAAAAGATAAATAATCCTTTTAGTGTATTTATTAATATTTATCATATGATGTTCAAGTTTTTTTGCTTTATATGATAATAATAGAATATGCAACATAACTTCAGATTAATCTTGGCTTACATGACTCAAGTCTGGCAAAAATTAAAAGAGGTGTTGGGAAAAGTCCAAGTCCCACATTAGAGGTATTAGAGTTTGGCCTAACACAACCTTACAAAACCGGTTGGTAAGGTGAGGGGTGCCACTCTATATAAACTATTTCAATGCTCTATCTCCAACCAATGTGGGACTAGGATCTTCCTAACACACCTCCTCACGTCCAACACTCTTTTTAGGCTTGGTACGTGGATTTTAAACGGTGGGCTGCTCAAGGTCCGATCGATAGGCTCTGATACCATATTAAAGTTTGGCCTAACATAACCTTACAAAACCGGTTTTGTAAAGTTGTGTTAGGCCAAACTCTAATATGGTAGCCCAAAAAGAGTGCTGGACGTGAGGGGGTGTGTTAGGAAGATCCTAAAGTCTCACATTGGTTGGAGATAGAGCATTGAAATAGTTTATATAGAGTGACATCCCTCACCTTACCAACTGGTTTTGTAAGGTTGTGTTAGACCAAACTTTAATAAGAGGCTCAATGTAAAAACCTAATTAGAGGAATTTTATGTAGTTTAAATTTATTTAGAAAATTATTTCACTTGGTCTAGGCTTAACCAAGTCGTATGACAGATGTTCCTAAGGCCATCCGTGTTTTAGAACAGAATGATTATTATGTCTTTATATTTCCCTGTGCCATACGCTCTTTTTTGAAGTTCAGTTTTTATGCTCTGGAATGCAGTATTCTTTGTTGATGAAATGGTGTATCTGACAACTTTATTAACTGTTTGAGCCACACTGACTTGTCTCCTTTTCCAGTTGAGAAAATTCCATATCCTGCACTAACTATACTTTAAAAAATGATGCATCTGATAGGTGGTTTAAGCAACAATAATTCAAGAAAACAACCAAAGAAGCTAATTTCCTATATCACCAGTACATTGAATCAAATCATAGTCAAAGTGTTGGCTTGTATATATGTAGTATTTGCAGCATTGGCAAATTTTTGTATGGTTCGCTCTGCCAAAAACCAACCAGGAAGCCATCAGAAAATTCAGCTAGTGGAATCCAGCTCTCCAGAACAAATAATCACTCCGGAAATAAAGGAGCCGATTTGGAAGAGGTTGCAGAATTTAGAGGCAGTAGTGACAGAGATGGCTAATAAACCTAGAACAATTCCTCCTGAGAAAGAAGATATTCTTCAAGAGTCGCTGAGTCGTATAAAAGGAATAGAATATGACTTGCAAAAGACAAGGAAGGTAGTGCCAGTCTCCTGTGATAAAATTGATCCTTTTGAAGGACATATTGTTTAAAGAATTCACATTACTATGTTGATTGAGTTTGCTTCTTCATTTTAGGCACTGCTTGCAACTACTTCAAAGCAAGCTGAGCTTGCCGAGTCACTGGAAAGTTTAAAGGATGATAAATTTGATGTAAGTCGCTACTGCCTCTCATTGTCCGTTTGAGAACTTATGTATAAAACTTGTAAGCAAAATAGACTGTTTTAAAATGTTGCCGGTACATAGTGCATACCTTTCTTCGCATTTAATGCAGACCATCATAGAATTTCAGTTGGAAGATTTATTGTAATTTATATCAAAATTTTGTCATGGGCTAAAGGAGAAAACTCATCATATTTGAATTGTGCAACACCTTTCTGCAAGCCTTGTTGCATTTCAATGTTTTACTTGATCTTATTGAAATGTGTTTCCAGATAGAATGTATGCCCTATCTCATCTCATCTGGCACTGTTCAATATACTTTTAGATCTTATAGGCTTAAATAAATTTGTAGTACTTTTTTCCTTCCAGATTCTTTGTTTTTGTATATACTGATAATTATAACTTTCTAAACATACAGGGGACAAACTCATGTTGGCCTAAAAATAGTAAATACTATGCCCCTGGAAGATGAGTATACTTCTTACAGCATCATGGCAGTATATTGTTTTTGATACTCTACGGCTGAATTACTACGGGATCTAAACCTCTCTTGACTTATATAAAGGATTTACTCTCATAGGTGACTTTACTTCTGTGATATAACCACAGAATTTTGTACACACACACTGGAAGAAATGGAAGTATTTGTAATACCCATTCTTTTCAGGTTTGAGAAATGGGATATGGGGGTTGACACACCCCCAGTCTACTCAAGGCAGCAAGAAGTTTATATGAGGGCTCTGGACTCTTGAGTTCTTCCTCTCAATAGGCATTATTGTGTCAACCACATTATTTTCTTACTACATTTCTTGTACAGAGAGTATATTGATACAAAAAAATGCTACTCAAATTCAGATGTATTTATTTTAATATATACCAGTAGCATTTGTGAACGAAAAGGAAACTTTTTCAGATGATACATACTTTTCAGATGATACATAGTACATAGTTTGTGTTTACTTTGCCTTGGACTAGAGGAATATATCTTTCTGTTTGTGAGTCTTTATTTTCTTTAGACATTTTGATAAGCACACCTGTTATCATAATAAGTAGAATGTGTAAAAGAAAGTGAATCAATAAGCAACACCATCAACTATCAATCAACTATCTTTCTATTAAATGAACATACCTGCAAACTACCAATAATATTCTTCACTTTAAATTTTTTAACACTTGCAAAAGGTTAAAATAATAAAAATATAAAATTTTAATTAATTCACCTTACTTTTATTAAATGTTAGCAAGTGTCAAGTTCTTATTTGATATTTTTTCTAATTTTCATTTTTTTCTCCAGTTCTCACTCTTTCACTCACAATTTCTCTTTTCAATATTTTCATTTTTAATTTTTTCTCTCTACATTTTCTCCTTCCTTTTTTATTTTTCTGAGCATGCATAAATAAATGAATTTAATTTTTTTAATTAAATGAAGAAAAATCCATACAACTCAACCAAAAACATAGAAATGATAAAAAAATTATTTTCAAATGTCAAAATTTTATTTTTCTTATAGGTCACTATCAACAAAATATCTATTTTATTTTAATTAATAATTGTCTTTATGACACAATTCTTATTTTAAAATGTCAAAATTTCTATTTTTCTCATGGATCACTTTATCAAAAAAACATCTATTTTATTTTAACTAAAAATTGTCTTTATTTGGGATACATAATTCTTATTTTTAAATGTCAGTTTTTTTAATTTTCTCATAGATCACTATCAGTAAGATACCTATTTCATTTTAATTGATAATTGTCATTATTTGAGATATAAAATTTTTATTTTTAAATGTCAAAATTTCTATTGCTCTCTGCTATCAACAAAATACATATTTTATTTTAATTAACAATTGTCTTTATTTGAAACACAATTATTATTTTCTAATGTCAAAATTTTTATTTATTTTTCACGGATCACTATCAACAAAATATTTATTTTTTTAATCAATAATTATTTTTATTTGAGACACAAAATTTTTATTTTTAAATATTAAAATTAAATTTATATTATTATTATTTATTGTATAATTAAATAATTTATTTCAAATTTATATATATTTAAATAAAATATATTTCGTATTAACCCAGGAGTATCTTTATCTTTTTAGTATAAGTTAATACTTCTACTATTTACTTGCTAGATTGTTCTCTAATAATCCAAAACCCCTCATGGAGAGCCTAAATAGGTGACCCTAATAACTAGTGTTATCATTCAAATGTGAAATTTCTTTGAACCAAAATAGAATCTTGCATCGCAGTTTCCTTGATATGTGTTGCAGTGTTCTCGGTTGTTCTCGTCCACATGCTCCTTAACTTATGGTCAACATCATTCATTTCTTTTATAATATTTTTTGTGGAAAAATTTGGTAGTGTTGCTGGTAGGATTACGGAGTTAATTTTATATAATTAAAAAATTATTGAAGGTTGAGAAACACAAGAAATGAGGGTTTGAATTGAGTTTTATATTTTCTCTTTTTTGCAGAATTAGAAGAATAAATATAACAATGATAAAAAAATAAATGACACAATTATTTTTATCCTGATTCACTGTTAACGAAATTATTCCAGTTCACCCTCAAGATGATTTCGCCTTATCACAAGGAACTAATTCAATAATCATCAACGATTACAATCACAATGGATACCTTCCATTGTCTTCTTGAGAATCATGACATTCACTCGCCTTTCAAGGAATCAACCTTCAAGTCGTTAGAAACGACCTGACCCTCTCAAGCATTCTGGTCTTCACTCAACCGCTCAAGAAACATCATCCACTAAGTTGTTAGAAACACGCTTAGTCATCTCAAGCATTCTGGTCTTCACTCGACCGCTCAAGGAACAACACCTTTTACAAAGATTTTCTTGTGCACTAATATGCTTCTTACAAGCTGATTACACAAATGAATTACATGAGCACCTAAGTGTTTCTAAGCAAGATATGAGCAACAACTCCTTACTTTCTAATACAGAAAATTACTTAAAGAATGAATCTCTGAGAGATTATAATACATTAGTTCTGTATTGCTTATAAGCTTTCTTAATGAGCACCATGACTTCTTTTCATGAGCTGTTAGCTTTTTTTGATTAACTCCTTCTTGAGCATTTAATGCTTTTTCCAGTTTAACCATAAAGATCAACTAAGTTACTATGCTTCACTTATTGATGTTTCACTTGACTAGTTCACATGGCTTTAGCATGTTGCATTGTTATACGCACTTCAGTAGTTTGCTTCGGCTTTTTGTTCATTGAGCATTCTTCATTTAAGCTTCAACTTGTAGCATTTTCTTCAGCACTTTGGCTTTGCATAGCAGTGTGCTATCCCAGTAACCAACAATTCTTCAAGCTTCTTGATCTTCAATTTATAGAGCTTGAGAGAATAGATCTGTTGAGGGGTTTTCTTGGAAACATATTCCGACAACAATATCCCAATGTTCACATGAAGGAATTGTCAACATCATTGTACAAAAAGTTGCTCTTGCGCCACCTTTTCGAGGTAGATGTCACAAAGTTTTAGTACTATTATATTCAGCTTAAAACCATTCTTATCTTCGGTCTTCTAGCATCTTCAGAGGCTTCTGATATTAACTTGATGAAACGTGTTGTAAATGAGTCTTTCTTTGTGTAATATTTAGAACCACAGTCTTTAGAATCACATATCTTCGTTCAACAGAACCTAGTCATAAGAATCTTCAACACTTAGTTTCTTAAAAGCATTATCTTCAGAGTCTTTAGAACTTGTTCTACCAAAACCTCATCTTCAGAGTCTTCAGATTTCATTAAGCACACTTTTGTCTTCAGAGTCTTCAGCACTTTGTTCAATCAGAACATTGTCTTCAGAAACTTTTCAGAACTTGATCTTTATAGATGATTTCTTCAGAATCTTCAGAGCTGTAACAATAGAAAGTACATTTCATGTAAATCCTTCTAGACTTACTTATAAAGTTTCAATCAGAAACCTCGTTACTAACGTTCCTTAGAACTGTTGCATTAGAAGTATTTCTAAATCTTGGCCTTATCTTGTACACATATGTTTTCTTCCAGAGTGTTGATAACAGAGTCTAATGACGTCACACGTCTTCTTATCAGAGTCAGAATCATATTGACAACAGTCACACACTAGACAAAAACCATATCATATGGAATTGTTCTCTTAGATAACATGTGCAGTTATCATCAAAACTCAAAGGCCAGATGTAGGACCAAATCTTGTTCTTGCAATCTCCCCCTTTTTAATGATGACAAACAATGCATTTTCATAAACAATTTGTATAGGGTAATCACCATAAACTCACAAAGTCAGAGATAAGCTTAACAATGTCATGTCGCAATTGTGAAAACACCCGGCGGAAAAACAGAAGAGTCGCCACCGAACATTATTTATCCCAAAGAGAGGGAAAGGAAACGATCGAAGAAAACCTGAAGAACGGGAAAAGACAAGGTCATTGTAACCAAATCTTGGGTTTGGGAGCCGGTTACGCAAGGGGAAGGTATTAGCACCCCTCACGTCCGTTGTACTCAACGGGATCCACGCTTGTTGTCTAATCAAAGGGTGTGTTTATCTATAAGCTAAAGCTAAATGGAAACGAGAACAAAATAAAAAGAAATAGACTCGATAGGACATAACCGCCCTATGCCTACGTATTCCCTTGTGCAATGGGAAAGTCAGAGTCAACGTAGTTTGGGAAACTACGGGTGATGGGGGAAGGTTGCTCGCTAAGACATCGCCGTCTTGTGCCTACGTATCCTCACCTGGTATAAGAAATCAGAGCAAACGTAGTTCGGGTAAACGAAACCACATGTTGGTTAAGTGTTTTTTATGAGTGATGTTAAGTTCTCATTGCAGCAGTTAGGGCCGATACCTGTTTGCGATAGAACGAAAAAATAACGTACTATTTTTTAAAAAAGAAGTTGAATACAATCCCGAAGGATAAAAGGTTTGAGTTTTGTTTGTGAGTTTTAGTGAAGTGAATTATTTTGCTTTGTGATTCACGTTGCACTAAATACTATGATATAGGAATGAACGCGTCACATATCGCCCTAAGGGCATACACTAAACACTCTAGACAAGTGAAGGGAGACCCCTCACTCATCATTTCCCATGTGCTTAAGGCGCGTAGCGTACAATGTTCATCGTAATTATTAGATGAGTTAGAATGTGTTTTGAGATGAGAAGAGAGGCGCACGAAAGGTCTAAGGGAAAACTCGGCCCTAACGTTGTCATGCAAAGTGGTCCTAAAGTTGGGATGTGAAAGGAGATTCTATCCTAATGTTAGCATGCAAGAGATGGACCTAGGGTTGAGGTTAAAAGGGATTAGCCTACTTGTTATCATGCTTGGGTTAAACTCCTAATGTCTATCTTACTCCAAATTTAATCGGAAATTAAATTGGAATGAGAGTCTTAAGGGAGCATGCAAAGACAAAGCAATATAAGAAAAGAAGGCTAAAACAGCAGCTACGACAGCGCTTCCTGCAC